CCTTTCACCCTTTAACACATCCCAAGAACAGAACATTATCTTCTGGAAGCACCACATGCTTACCGCGTTGAGAACATTCTCTGCACTTTGACAATAATGCTTTAAAAACATTTGCCCCTTGCAGAAGATCACCCTTAGTTCTTCCTCGGAAGAGTATCAGAAGGTTCTCTTCTGACGTTCCATGTTCCAGCAGCCCATGTTCCAGGCCCATCAGTTCTTTGTCAGTCAGTTTCCGTCTGATGTAGCGAAGGTGTTGCGTCAAGATGGACGCAGCCAGTGGTAGACTTCTGAATTCAAATGTATAGGTGACAGCTTCCACCTCAGGTTCCCATTTGACAGGGCTCATGATTCTATGCACTGGGCTGCTGGAGTCTACAGACTGCTTTCATATATGGGATCTCATTTATTTTCCATGTCAACCCTGCAAGGTTGGGCTGAACATCCCCATTTTATGCCTGAGGAAACTGAGGTTTGGCAGATTAAGTAGTGGTGTGTCTAGAGGCCTTTAGGTTTTGTGTCTCAGTTTGGCAACTCCTCAGATCCTGCCATTCAGAAGGGTGTTGGTGTCACTGATCCATGTGTCTTCATGAGGGAGAGTGGAGACATGGCATGGAGGGAAGGCGGGAGATGCGGGGGTGGAAGAGTAGAGGCCCCTGGTGTTGTGTGTCACCAGGACGCTATCCACAGTGGGTTGACCCTTCCTGGCTGCGGGCCCTTCCACCAGGCGCCCAGCTGAACCCTCGTGTATCATTTCAGGAAGCTACTTTGCCCGCGATGCTGCGTATTCTCACCACTACAGCAAATCCGACACGCAGACCCACACGATGTTTCTGGCGCGGGTGCTGGTGGGCGAGTTCGCCAGGGGCAATGCCTGCTTTGTCCGCCCCCCAAACAAAGAGGGCCAGAGCAATGCCTTCTACGATAGCTGCGTGAACAGCGTATCCGACCCCTCTATCTTCGTGATCTTTGAGAAGCACCAGGTCTACCCAGAGTATCTCATCCAGTACACCACCTTCTCCAAGCCCTCGGTCACGCCCTCCTTCCTGATGGCCTTGGGTTCCCTGTTCAGCAACCGGCAGTGAGCGCACCAGAGTGTTCTGGGCCTTTTGCCTGCTCTGCCTTGAAATGGTTGTTTGGGCCTTTCTTTTTCTTTTTAAACAGGAAACTTTTAATGAACTATTCGTTTAACATTGACTTCTCAATGAAGTTACGTTCTTAATCTCTTGCTAATAATGATTTTTACTTTTAAGTCACGTTTGGGCTCACTAGTGGACTAACCAGAAGTGATTGCAGTCGAGTCCAGTTTTGATTTTTAATAATGTTGTCGAAGTTTTATTTTTTACTCTTTGTTGACTTTGCTGCTTATTGGCACCAGGCAGAGTTTCTAGACACAATTTTATGGATTCGTTTTAATTTTAAGCATGTGTCTCTGCAACGATTCAGATTTTCAGTCTCAGGGCATCTTAGTTTTACTTTTTATCAGAATGACATAGTAGCCACCAGTGGAGGACAGCCAGGGGCAGCACAGTCATTTCTGCCTGTTGCTCTGGCACCAACCCAGTCAGCTCTGCTGTGGCTTCTCCTGGGCACTAGTTGGCCTGTGTCACATTGTCAGAACAGGTGGCTGCTGTGTGGTGCCATCGAGTCCCTGGTAGTTCCCCTTGTCCTGGTGGGGTCACCCGTTGCCCAAGGAAGCCCATCTACCTGGCAGGTGACCTGGAGGAGTAGCTTCCCCGAGGACTCTTAGGCTTGGCCTATGAGTGTCCAAATCCACGACTCCTAAGCACTCTGGACACCCTCCAAGTGTGGGTTTTAACATCCCTGTGAGATTGAATACCTGTGCCACAAATGTCACAAAGAGTATGGAAATAAAAGAATATTTATCTGCAGTGGATGAAGACTGAAGCTCGTTTTTCTGTGTCTATTGAGCACCTGCTAGGTGCCAGGCGTTTTTCCGAGAATCAGGGATTGCCTTTGTTCATTTGGGCTGCTATAACAAAACACCATTGACTGGTGGCTCATAAACAGTAGATGTTTATCTCCCAGGTTTACAGCCAGAAAGTCCAACCTCCTGTTTCCACATAGATTCAGTGTCTTCCCACTGTATCCCCACACAGTGGAAGGGCCTCTTTTAGAAGGCACTGAATCCTATTCGTGAGGGCTCTGGCCTGATGGTCTAATCACCCCTATTTTAAATATCACCTAAGGGGTGAGGATTTCAACATTGGAATTTTGCAGGGGACAGAGCTCATGTCACTGGGCATGGTGAGCTATGTGTGGATTTATTGTGAAGACAATGAAGTTGAAGGTTCAGGGCCCCTTACTTGCTGGAGCCCCTCTCCAGGCTCCAACAATATGGGCACATGGTTGTAGGTTTTGATGACATTTGCAAATGTTACATATCTTTATTCTGTTTCCTTCAATTCATACGTTTTAGGCCCCATAAGACCCAGGTTCACCATTGAGCAGTGTGCTGTGCATGTGGAGAGTGTGTTGTGTGTGTTCCCCACACATGGCAGTTTACAAGAGCCTCCCTTACTGGGCATCGGCTGGTTCTGGTCCTGCTGGCAGAGGGGCTGGCAGGGCCGCTGGTGTCACCAGGCTGTCAGCCCTCCCAGCTCAGTCCTCACTGCCTGCTTCTTGCCCAGCCTCCACTTTCCTGAGTACATGTGCCTACTGGTGACTTGCTGCTCAGGCTTCAGTTGGCTTGCCTGTATTTCTCAGGTCCAAGGTGAGTGAATTAATTTTTCCATCTTTGGAGTGATCTGAAACCTTACACAGGCAAGTGCAATCAGGCCAGAGGAGAGCCAAGTTAAATGACCAGAGAAACAGCAAGGACAACACAGCTTCTCCCACCAGCGGGGTCAGTCATATGGTTGCCTGTGGTATGATTTTCAGACCCCCACCAAATTTCCCTCACAGCCCGACTGATCCTGCCATTTCATTCATTGCTGCTTCATTAAGTGGTCCTGCTCCGGTGCAGTTGGGCAGGGGGCAAAAAGGTGTCAGAGAAAACCATTAAATCCGTTGTATGTCTGTTAAGGTCTCACATGTAAGTGAACTGATTCTATGCTTCCGAACCATCTGGGAGCTGGGGAGACTTGGGGAGCAAAACTCACTTATTGGGGGTGTAGATGGGGAGAGTGGACAGAAGGATCCAGTGGGAGGTCCTCAAATGCTCCTGAAAAGTCCACTGAGCTGTGAGGACTGCGACAGCCATGACTGGATGACCTGGGAGAAAGCAGGTTAGGAAGAGCAACTCCTTACACGAGTAGTTCTAGGGAGAGTGGGAGCCATGTGGCCAGACTGCCTGATGATGGGGATGGGGCTGTTCCTGCCAGTGCAGAAGGGGTGGGTGTTGTGATGGGAAGGGGTTGAAACGACCATGACTCTCAAGATATTTGGTGCCAGGAGGTAGTAGAGTCCGGGCCATGGGTGTGCCTGTGTGGGACTGGCCAGAATTTTTGTGAGGACCTGTAACCGGGTGTTCCAGGTTCTTGGCTTCCCCTACCCCAGGAATTGGGGAAGAGGCCTGGAGGTGCGGTGGGCTCGTTCAAGTAAATATCGGACCCAAAGAGTTTTGCAGAAAAGCAATTTATTAGGCAGAGAGAAAGAGAAAGCACGAGAGTGAGAGCACAGGTGAGTGCTCCCACGCTGTCGCGGGAGAGGATCCAGAGATGGAGTCTGCACGGGTGAGGGTCAGGGGAACTTTTAATCTGGGAGTTATTCCCGCCCCATTCAAGTTCTTGTCTCCAGAGGAGTTCCTTCACTTCTGCTGGAGGGAGTGATCTGACTTTGATATCGGATTGGCTGCCAGGCTCACAGTCCTTCCATAACTTTTCGTGGGCTTTTTAAACAAAGGGAGCTCACCTGGGCAGTCTACCTTTCCCACGTTCTTGAAAGTTAGACAAAGGACTCGGCTCCCGGATGGAGACGTGAAAGAAGTCAGGTTGGGCATGTTGCTGGGAAATTTCTGCTTATGAAACCATGCCCCTTGTGGACCTGGGAAGTTAATACAGTCCCTCAGACCCAGTTGGGAATCTAGCAAGGTTTTTTCGGAGGACCGGGCAATGCAGTTCCCTGTCCTGTGATAGCTGGTGTTGGACATGTACTGTGGGATTCAAGCAGAGGTGGGGTTGGTGGGTTCACACAGTAGAATAGGACCGGAGTCCAGTGACCCCAGCACATGAGGAAGCCTCTAACACTATGTCTGAAGGTGGTGACCACCTGAGCTGGGAAGGTGAGGGAAGCCAGATGGAGCTGATGGGGTGGGGGTGGGGGGAGAGGGCCCAAGGGTGGGCTTAGGTTGTGGGGCTGTGCTCCAAGCAGGGAGCCAAGTGCTCCACTGTGCCTGTCTGCAGGCTGAGGTTCTATGGTGGCAGTGGCCGTGGGCAGGTCAGGGATTGTGGGACAGGCAGGGAGTCAGCTCCCCAGGAGCAGATACTTTTCTCCAGCGAGTCTCAGTCCCAGGCTGAGCATTGCAGAGGGGCCAGGTGATGGAGAAGGGCAGGTGGTGGCTACAAGGATGTGAGGAGGGCCACAGGAAGCCCTGCACCTCCAGGAGGACAGGCAGTCGATATATTTTGATTCTCCCTCTATATTTTGATTCTTTGATCAAAATGAAGATATGGCGTTCTTAAAAAAGTATATCATTTTTCAGACTCATTTTTCTGTCGATTGAAACTTGACTATAAAGTTGGTACTACCTACCTAGGAAAATCAAAACATAATAAAGCTATGGAGCCACTTTTGAGGCTAAACTTCTGATAAATGTCATTCTCTAAAACTCCACATTGCACGAGAAACTGGAAGAGCCACTAGCTGGTGCCATCTGGACAGGCTCACCTGGTGTCCTCCTGTGCCGTGCGCCATGGATTCTTTTCAATATGAGCCTGGGACTTCCTTTAAAACCTCATGTTCTCGGTTGTTTTGTCAAAACTACATTTTCACTTATTTATCAGCAATCCTTCATTTAGAGAGATCACTGGTGCAAACCCCACTGGCAATGTCAAAACCTAGCGCAACAAACGTTTATTAAGCATTTAGGAAATGTTACACAGATAACTTCTTTTATCCTTGCACACCAGGACTCTTTCAATCCCTTCAGTGACATTTTCCCAAAAATCTGAATTTTCACACTTAGGGCTTTTTTTGAATTTGGGGGTGCCCTCCCTCCCCTGGCAGCCTTCTGTGTCAGCGGGGTACAATCTTGATATAGACACCATTTTTTGGACCTAGAGCAGATTTGGATTCTAGCTGCAGTGGTACCTAAAATAGAGAAAATTAAAATATTTGTCAAACAGATAGTAGCGTCTCACTGTACTAATGAAGACTTGGAGGTTCAGGAAGGCCAAGTCCCTTGTCCAAGGTCACACAAGAAGAAAGCAGAGAGCAAAGCCCCAAACCTATCTTCCAGTGATTCTAGCCATCCCTGCTGATCCTCGTCTCACTCCCCAGTCCCGGCCAGTAACTGAGCAATGCCCTCTGGCCGAGGGGCTTTGGGGAGAGCAGCTTCATTCTGTTCCTGCTCATGCGTGCTGTGGTCTGGCCTCACTGACATCCAGAAAGCTTTCTTATGTCCACCTTAAAAGGCAGAGCCGGTGGTGGACTGGGGGCTTCAAAGAAAAGCCAAAGGATTACTCAAGAAGTCGGGTTTCCTCGGGGGCTGTGAGTGAAATGATGACCCAATGGCTAATGCAAGCCTTCACAGCTGAGTCTCCAGGGTCTCAGGGCTTGGGCCTGCACTTGTCTCCTATGGGAACCACAGCCCTCAAAGGCACCTGAAAAAGCTGCAGTGCCCAGCACGTGTCTGAGCAGGTGTGGACCAATGGGGAGCCCTTCCGGAGTGGGAAGTTGAGGTGGGGAGTGCAGAATGGGCTCAGCCTTGTCTCGAATTCAGAATGCATTCTCCCTGGATCCAGCAGGCCTGGGACTCATGGCTGGTTCTTAAGCAAGGGAGTGCCAGGCATAAGAGTTCTAGGAGACTGGTCTGACTGCTGTACTGTATGTCGAGATCATGGGGAAGGGAGTCAAGCCCCACACACGTGGAAGTCCCGAGGCTGTGGGGCTGCTCCTTCTGCCCCTTGACCTCGCTTGGTTTGGCTGGTGCTGCCGATCTGCCCCTCCCTCTCTGCAGCCCAGAGTGTGTGGACGAGTTCACTTTCAGTACCTCAGACTGTTTCCTCCAACCAAGCTCATGATTCCTCCTGGACCAGCAGCCGGTCCCAGGTTCTCTGTCAGAGGCACTGCCTGTCTCAATCTAGAATTGTCACTGTCACTGTGTCCTTATGCTTTCCTATGCCCACCTCTCCAGGTCTGCAGCTGAACAGAGGGTTCTGGGTGGCAGGACCAGCATGATAGGTGCAGGGGACAGCAATGGTCAGGATGGGCAGGGAATAGCCAACGCTGTGCAGAGACGCAGCCGGATGTCAGGAAGGAAGGAGGACTTGGGAATGAACAGGATCTGGGTGAGGACCCCCGTTTCTTTAATCTCTGGCTGCTCATCCAGTTGTTCATTAATGTTTGTTGAATAAGTGAGCACCTGCCATGCGCATGGCATCCAGCTAGATGCTGGAAAGTCCAATAATGAATATGACAGGCTGGGTCCCTGCCATCATGAAGCCTGCAGTCCAACTGTGTGTCCTTAGGCAAGTTGTAACCTCTCTGAGCTTTGGTTCTTCATCTGAAGAATGGGAATATTAACACCTACTCTGTAGGATTGCTGTCAGCTTGGGATGTGGGGGGAGCATATAAGCTCCCGACCTACTGTAGAGGAACTGGTCTGCTGGTTCTGGAGTGTGTGATGGGTGGGGGAAACAGGGCTGGAAAGTGGGTGGGGCCGCATTTCAGGAGAACCCAGCCCTCTGGGTGAGGACAGGGTCTGTGCACCAGTTGAGGACCTCAGGAATGAAAGCCTGTGGTGTTGGGAAGAGTCTGTGTCGCCACCTGTGAGAGGGACCAGGCTGATGCCATGAGGACATATGAGTGCACAAGGGGGGAAGGCAACGCTGGGGGCACCCTTCAAGGAGCTGAAACCCCTCAGCTTCCCCTCCAAGCACACAGCACCTTACTCGGTCAGGAGGGGCCAGAGGATGTGTCCCCAGCTTCTGCAGGACAAGCCATGCCCCTGCCCCCAAAGATAGGCACATGTCGCAACTGCAGATGCCATTGTTTGTGTGCTCTTGGAAAAAGGGAAGAGCTACAGCAAGGTGAGGTCCAGCCCTGATGTGCAGAGAGCAATGCTAATAACGATGGTCAGCACATGCTCGGGTTAGTGCACCAGGGCTTATCTGAGTGCTGTGTGAACTCACTGAATCCTCATAGGATGTCGAGAGGCAGAGGGTATTATCATCCCTGACTTACAGATTAATAAACTGAGGCCAAGGGAGGTTAAGAAGCTCGCCCAAGCTCAAGGAGGAAGAGCTCTGGTGCAGAGAACTGGGGTGCCCCCACCCCCACCCCTGACCCTGCTCCCGGGGACAGTGGGGCCTCACCTGGGTCTCAGGGCAGGCTTGGAACCGGAACTTGTGCAGCACGTGGAGCAGTGTCAGCTTGACTTCCAGCAGCCCGAGCCGTACCCCGAGGCAGCTGCGTGGGCCGGCCCCAAAGGGCAGGTACGTGAAGGGCCGGTGCTGCTGCCGGGCCTCAGCGGTAAACCTGCAGGTCCATGTGGTCAGGGCTGGCTCAGAACACCTGCTCCCTCCCCTCTGCAGCCCTGTGCTCCAGCTGAGCCACCCCTGCATCTGAGACAAGGATGTCCCAAAGGCTCTGGGAACTGGTGAGCCTTAGTCCTGCTCTGCTCCTGGCTGCCTGTCTTCCTGCACAGCCCTGGCAGAGCTGAATTCACAGAATCACCTGCAATGTCCACAGCGCCCTCCCTCCCTCTCCTTAGGAATTCAGTGCGTGGCTAATAAGCCCACAGACTTACCACCACCCACAGTTACAGTCAAAACACAGCATCCCTGAACCACAGGGCTTGGCAATCACAGCCCTCACCTGGGCCCATGGCACCACCTCCTCTCCCACAGGATGACTCAGCCGCCACCTGCTTACTTCCTTGGCAGGGTACCAGGCACCTCCCCAGCCCTCCCTGGGGGCCATGTCCTGCTTGCTTGCCCTGCTGGTCTCTTGAGCCACACAGGCAGTGCCTCCCCTGCCCACACTTGCTTGACAGGCCCCAGCACTGGACACTTGACCCATTGGGAGCTGCAGTACCTGGACGGCTGGAGGCCCTTCCTCGGAACTGCTGAATGTCCCACCAAATAGCGCATTTGCCTGCAGCATGTGGCCCATGACAGTGAAGCTAGATGGTAGTCACTCTTCTGTAAGAGCGAGCTCACTTCTTACTGCCTCCGGGCTTCATCGTGAGGCTGTAAGCCCTGTGGCTGTGGCGTGTTCAGGAGCTGCTGACTGTGGAGTATTATCTGCATAGATCCCACTGCTCACACTTTCCCAGTGGCTGGGTTGTAGAGTTGGGCTGAGTTCATGGGAGCCATGAAAGGTGAAAACACACTGGCTGTGAAAACACAAGCCCTTCCCTGGTCAGATCTCACACCCAGGGGATATTGTCTGGTTCTGATGAGGACTGGGGTGTGGCCACCTGCTCAGATGTTTCCAACCACAGAGCCCAGAAATGAAATGAGACAATGAACCGAAGCCAGGGTTGGAAGGAGGGGACCCGGGTCAACCAGCAGATCCCATGAGTGTAGATTCACGGAGACACTGGCTGAAGCTGTTGTTTTGGCATAGCTGCCCATTTTTAAAACAGGAAATGATATTGTTGCTTTCCAGTGCAGACCTGAAATACAATCCTGTACCCCATATCCTGGCTTGAATGAATGGGAGACAATAATTTGAAACTGCCTTGTTCCTTGCGTGTAGGGCTGCTGAAATGCTAAATCTCTGGATTCACTTTGGAACTTGAAAAAATGGTATAGTTATTTCCTTTGGAAATCATGCCTCGCAAACATCTATCTGAAGTCCCATAACTTTTGACTAATGGGGACAATGTTGCTAAGTCTGTACCTCCTGGTTGCTGCCTCCACTGGTAAATTTCCATTCCACACACTCACATCCCTTCAGAGCTTTTTAATGGGGGCAGCACTCACCTTTCAGGGTCAAAGGTCTCAGGGCTTGGCCAGTGCTCTGGGTCATGGTGCAAGGCACCCACCGCCATCTCCAGTACGGCACCTGCGGGGATGTGCTGCCCCAGCACCTCGCAGTCCTGAGCCGCCTCCCGTGTGAACCTGAGGAAAACACCAAATGCAGGCGAGGGGTGGCTGGAGAGAAGGAGAGACCAGAAGCAGAGCTCGGGGTGTGCTGAGCAGGCTGAGTCTGAGTGTGAAGATCAGCGGCAGGCGGCACAGTGTGTGGAATGAGGCTGGGGGACAGAGGACCCCCTGCTCAGCCCCCTTCCCAGGGTAACCAAGCCCCCACCCCATTAACCCTCACTGCCTAGGAGCCTGCAGCCCCAAGGCTAGGCTCACTTGGTCCTTGATGAAAATTCACTCATCCAGCCCTTCATGCATCCATTTGTCAAACACTCAAGGGCCCCTCTTGTGCCCTGTGTTGGGGTGCAAAGTGCTTTGGAAGGATTGCTTTCATAGTGGGGGCTTGGAGGGTCATTCCGGGGCCACAGCCCATCCTATCTTCCCATCCACAGTCAAGCCTCTTAAAACTGCCTTCACTCCCCCTGTCACTCCCTCTGCTCCCATTTCACTGTCTAGCCCTGCTGCCTGGCATCTGTCCCCTCCCTCTCGTGGGTGGTCCCCATGCCAAGATCCCCAAAGACCATTCATGGGCACGACTGATGAATACTCCTCAGTCATCATCTGCCTTGGTTCATCTGTGTCATTGACTGTCTTCCTCCTGTATGTTTCTTTGTTTTTCTGTTTTCATTTGGAAATAATTCTGAACTTAACAGAATAGTTGAAGAATAGCACGTAAGGTACCCGTGTATCCTTTACCCAGATTCACCTGCTGTTCATGCTGGGCCCTCCTCCTCCTTTTTCCTTTTCTTCCTCCTCCTCTTCCTTTTTTTTTTGAGACAGGTCTTGCTGTGTCACCCAGGCTAGAGTATTAGAGTGCGGCAGCGCAATCTCGGCTCACTGCAACCTCCACCTCCCAAGTTAAAGTGATCTTGCCTCAGCCTCCCTGGTAGCTGGGATTATAGGTGCCCATGACCACGCCCAGCAAATACTTGTATTTTTAGTAGAGACAGGGTTTTGCCATCTTGGCTAGGCTGGTCTCAAACTCCTGACCTTGTGATCCACTTGCTTCAGCCTCCTAAAGTCCTGGGTTTACAGGTGTGAGCCACCGCGCCTGGCCTCTTTCCTTGATTTCTAATAATATTATTTGTGTGAGTTTCCGTCGCTAGCGCTCCTTCTCTCTCATTGGCAGGCTCTTCTGAATCCTCTTAAATCCTGGTGCTTCCCAGGGATTTTGTCCACACGCCCAGATTTGACTTCCATTGTCTCCTAAGCCTCCTACCTCAGCCCCAGCCTGAACCCCCACAGACCCGGCCTCTCCCCTGGACAGTCCATAGGATCCTCGAAAGCTGGCCTGAGCAGCAGCGGATTGTCAAAATCTTCTCCTCCTTCTCTTCCCCACACAGGCTTGCACAAGCCAGAAACCGGAAGCTATCCTGTGCTCCTCCCTCCCCTTTCTGCAGATTCATCAGAAGATGAATATGGTGCCATCTCTCCAGTTTTACTGCCTTTCAGGGTCCTCCTTAATTGAGATTCTCATCTCTCCTTGACCTCTTTTCCAATCCAGTCTTCTCATGACAACCAGAACCGTTGTCTCTGACACGTAGTTTTGTCTGCTTCCTGAGGATGGCTGCCGAGGACAGGGCTCTGGAGCTGGGGCAAGTCCCAGGTGCTTGAGGCTCTGTGGCCCCAGAGCTGAGGCTGGAGTCGCAGTTAGTTGGTGAAACCTGTCGCTGACAAAGGGAATCAACGGGTGAAGTGAGGCCATGAATCGGAGAAGGCAGCAGATCAGAAACCAGGAAGACGGGCAGTGACTTGTGATGCATGGTGAGAGGTAGTTTAGGACCAGGGTTTGAGATTAAGGCCACGAGCAAGTCAGGGGTGTCAGAGGCTGCTGGTGGTAATGCGGTCTCCAAGTTTGTCTGGTCAAGCTGCACTCAGAGCTGAGCATTGGGCCAGTGTTCAGGGCTTCTGGTGCTGTGAGATCAACCCCAATCTGACTGCTGAAGCCCCTGTAGCTTCTGAAACATCTGACCCACCTTCCAGTCCCCCAGCTCGGGTCTCTTCCATGAGGTCTGCCCATGAGAGCCGTTCCTGGTTCCTGGTAGAGTTCTACCTTTCTCACCTCACCCGTTTCTTATAACAAACACCCATGACTGCAGAAAACACCAGTGAATCTCTCTCTTGCAACGTGAAAACCTGGCATGGCTCTCTTAAGCTTGTACCTTGTTGATTGCGGCCCCGCAGGACACCCTGGGAAACAAGTCTGCCTGGAACCACGCAACTCAACTCTTGGACTGAGGCTTGAGACCACCTGTGTCAGGGACTTCCTCTCTGCTCCAGAAAAGTCTTGCCAAGGAAGATAAGCCTCTGAACCAAGAAATAACTTCGCTGTTGGCTTTAGGAAACAAATGCAGACTAATTTGTTGGGGCAAATCGCTTTCCTATCAGGATGATGGTTCGAGCATCAACCGTTTGGCTCCAGCAAACGGTTCACCTACCAGACAGCAGTCTTACCTGTCAGAACTCCCTTCGGCTCACCTGCCTGTATCCACTCATTCCTAAGTTGTTACATCACATGCCCAATTTCAAACATTCTTTGCCACAAAAGGCCTGCCTTAAACCTCTGTAGCCCAAACTCCAAACCTTCTAAGTGTCCTCTCCTGCTCTGCTGGCTTTGAGCTCCTGTTAAACAGACGTGCTGTCACTCTTCAGACCTACATGCAACCTTCTAGAAACAAAATTCGAGGTGGAGAGCTGAAGAACTGCTCTCTTCCTGAACTCGGGTAGACTTTTGGACTTTGAGTGTTGAGTACATGCTCTCAAGAGTTCTGGTCGTGGCCAGGTGTGGTGGCTCACGCCTGTAATCCCAGCACTTTGGGAGGCGGAGGTGGGTGGATCTGAAGTCAGTCAGAGTTTGAGACCAGCCTGGCCAACATGGTGAAACTCCATCTCTACTAAAAATACAAAAATTAGCCAGGTGTGGTGTCATGCGCCTATAGTCCCAGCTACTCAGGAGGCTGAGGCACAAGAATCGCTTGAACCAGGGAGGCAGAGGTTGCAGTGAACTGAGATTGCGCCACTGCACACCTGAGCGATAGAGCAAGACTCTGTCTCAAAAAAAAAACCAGTTCTGGTTAGAGTTGATTTGGTGTTTTAAAGGACGAGATAGAGCCTTTTAGGTCAAGGGCAGAATTACAGCCCCAGCTTCTCTTCCTCACTCCCCGCACCTCTCAGTCCACACCCTCCCCAATTACTTCTGTGACTAAAGGTTTCCATTGAGAAGTATCTCTCTGACTTCAGCACGATCCCACTGGGATCTGGCTCACAGCAAGAAAACAAAGCCCCGCCTCCCACCTTCTAGATTCCGGCCATTTCCTATCCCAGGTAACATGGGATTGGGAGGAGACACCAGTCACAGCCTCTGTCAAGGCTGGGCCTCGAGATACCCTCCCTACGTAGTAAAGTTCTGTTTCCCTAACACATCCCGCACACAGGCTCCCACTCCTGTACCACCCCCTCGTGGCTGGAACCCATGAACAGTCTTCTGAGTCTTAAATCCTTCTCACAGGACATGAGAGCATCAAACAAGAACAGGCTCAAACCACCCATCAGCCACCACTAGAATTCTGGAATCTTTCAACACCAGAATTGGTCCTGGTGAGGCTGGATTTATTTAGTTACTCATCTGCTGACCTAAGCACTAACTCCCTCCCCTCCCCTCTCCCTGGTCCCTGGCAGACAGCCTTCTAGTTTCTGTCTTTGTGGATTTGGCTCCTCTGAGTGATTCCTGGTGAGGGAAGGAAATTTGGGTTTGAAAATCTGTTCCCTGTTGTGTATGTCCCTACCGATAGCTTCTTCTCCCCAAGAGGAGAATATTTGATCAGATTGTTCATTTTACCCAAGGGCAATCGTACAATTTCATTTATGCTTCACTTTTAAAGGGTAGACTATCTATGCTTACATATGAATGTAACATTTCTAGAAGAATACTTACATTTCTATCTTTCTCTTCTCTAGGGGATGGGACTGGGATGAAGATGGCATGGGGCCTTTTTAAAATTTTTATTCTTCTGCATTGTTTAGGAGACTTTTTTTTTTTTTGAGACAGAGTCTCGCTCTGTCACCAGGCTGGAGTGCAGTGGCATGATCTCGGCTCACTGCAACCTCCACCTCTCAGGTTCAGGCAATTCTCCTGCCTCAGCCTCCCGAGTAGGTGGGAATACAGGTGTGCACAACCACACCCACCTAATTTTTAGTTTTAGAAGAGATGGAGTTTCACCATGTTGGCCAGACTAGTCTCAAACTCCTTAAGTGATCTGCCCACCTCAGCCTCCCAAAGTGCTGGGATTACAGGTATGAACCACCGCACCTGGCTGGGATTTTTTTTTTTTAAGTATAAACATGCTATTTTGGCAATATAAAGAATTAAAAATTGAAAATAATTCTATGCTGGATTTTACTTCAAGCTGTAGGATTGGACTTGCCTAAATATCCTAGAGGAAATGCAATGATTACAGTAATTACTGTTATGCCCTGCTCCTGCCCATAAAAGATTGAGGGTAACTCGTGGCTCCTTGTCACCCACACTCTCTATTATAAGCCTTTCATGTTAACAGAGAGGAACAGAAAAAGGCCAGGGCTGTGAGAACCCATGGAGATCCTAAGCTGCTAATGCAATTATATGTGCTTGGAGCTGATAGCAAACACTAGTGCTGAAACAGGGCAGGCAGCTGGGGGTTGTGTCTGCACCCTGAGTTCCAAAGGGGCCAGACGAGGCTGTTCCCTGGCACCCAGCTTTTTCATCTTACAGCCTGGACCTGGAGATAGGGCCTTCCCTTCCCTGTAGACTGAGCCACGTAAGAGACCAGCAGAGGCTTCGGAACCGCACCGCACAGCAGCCCAGAGTCACCTCAGTGGTGCTCAGACAGGGCTACTGTGTTTCCCACAAGGGCCATTCCGATTTTCTTCTATGAGTAAGTCCAAGTTGTGTCAGCACTTGGGAAAAGTCAACATGCTTTTTCAGATGAAATAAATGAAAAGGCTCACTACTCCCTACATTCACCCTCAAATCCTTTGAGCAGAAGCAGATGGTCCTCTGGTCTAGGGGAGAATTGTGACATCTTGCCTCTCTCATATCAGAAGAAAAGCTGGCAGAGCTGTTAGGACAAATGCCCGTGGGGCAGGTGTGGAGGTGCGGGGCGGGTGTGGAGGTGCGGGGCGGGTGTGGAGGTGTACAGTGGGTATAAAGGTGTGGGGCGGGTGTGGAGGTGTGGGGCGGGTGTGGAGGTGCAGAGGTGTGGGGCAGATGTGGAGGTGTGGGGCGGGTATGGAGGTGTGGGGCGGGTGTGGAGGTATGGGGGGTTGTGGTGTAGGTGTCGGGGGGTGTGGTGTGGGGCAGGGGTGGCTCAGGTGAGCGATGCCGGATGGAAGCTGGCCATTCCACTGTCCTACCGGTGCCCCTGCTCCTCCCCACACACCTCAGGCTGCAGGCAGCTGAGTGGGCGCTGCAGTTCCACCTACACCACTCACTACCTCTCACCCACTTCTGCGGGGCCAGCCAAGCAGGCGTGTGTCCCCACTCAACCTCTAGGAAGGAGCAGCGTGGGGCTCACCCACGATCACACAGTAAACCAAGGCCAGGGCCGAGACCGCCTTCTATACGCCCTCTAGACCTGTTCCGTGAATTCTAAGTACTTCATCCAGGTTCTCTAGTTTCTGTCTGGTCCTCAAATGAGATCACTGGCTTCCTGGTCCGCCTGCACTGACTTCCTTTTCTGCTCTGCTGTTCATGATGGGTCAGTGGAGAGTTGGCCACCGCGTTTCCATGTTGAAGAGCCTAAACACTTTGTTATTCAAAGTGATATCTATACAAGGTCTCGTGTGATGGATTCTTGACTGAGTTTAGGTCCAGGAAGTCCTCTTGCTGTCCTCTTGCTGGAGAACACACCTGTTCAGCTTGGCTGCTCTCCCTCTTGGCCAGGAGCCCTGGTCACCAAGCCAAGGCTGGACCCCAGAGCTATCAGCCACCTCTGGGGCCCTGTAAGGCCTTCTTTCCTTTAAATGGCCTTTGTTCAGTTTGATCACCGAATGCTCTATCTTGAACTTCATTTTAATATGTACATCAGCTGCCCACAATCCCCTGGGAAGAAAGCTGGATCTCAATCATGAAAAAAATAAGGTGGGGAGTGGTGGCTCATGCCTGTGATCCCAGCACTTTGGGAGGCCAACAAGGGCGGATCATCTGAGGTCAGGAGTTTGAGACAAGCCTGGCCAACATGGTGAAACTGTCTGTACTAAAAATACAAAAAATTAGCTGGGCATGGTGGCAGGCACCTGTAATCTCAGCTACTTGGGAGGCTGAGACAGGAGAATCGCTTGAATCCAGAAGACAGAAGTTTCAGTGAGCTGAGATTGCGCCATTGCACTCCAGCCTAGACTCTGTCTCAAAAAAAAAAGAAGAAAAGAAAAAAGCTTGGATGACAGTTTGTGTGAGGCTCCCAAGAAGATCAGGGAAGGGCTGCACATCAGTTCATAATGCTGTCATCGGGAGAGGGTGCTCAGAACCTCTGAGTGACGGGCCTGCTTCCACAGCGAGATCCGAAACCCTGCGTGCTGGAGGACGAACCACACCCCTGGAGGTTTCTATATTTGCTTCTAGACTTGAACATTTGGACAATATCTGCAACTGCCTTCTTTGTAATGCTTTTGTTTTGAAATATCATTGAGATACCCTCAAATCATCTACATATTCTCTCTAAAAATGGTGAAACCTATCTCCATATGGTTTATGTGATCTATTAATTCATGAAAGTGTTGAGTGGAGTTTATCACATACAGTCAATGCTTTGAGCTGCTTCTGTTTCTAGAACCTGAAACCTGGCTGTTATTTCACTCTCTGTAAGGATCTGGGGACAGGAATTAAGACGCTCTCTCTATGGAGTGCCTTGTTTGGGAGAGTTTGAAAGAAGCACAATACTTGCTTCTACTCTCAAGGTTCCCACAGGTTGGTGTGACCGGCTGGTTGATGTGTACATTAGTGAAACGTCATGGAGTGGCAGGCATGCATCCAAGAATATAGCATGGAACACAGTGACAGCTCAAAGCTCTGGGGAGGAAGGGCAGGGAGCGCCAGGTGAGGCAAGCCTGATGCAGATGTCTTGCGGGGTGGTGAGACTTTTTGCGGGCATGAGTTGTGTTGAAGCTCCAGGATGGGACAGCTGGGGGTGCTGGATGGCAGGAAGGAGCTCCCAAGCCTCAGACAGTCCCCTACTGGAATGCCAGCTCCAAGATCGGTCAGGGACTTTTATCTGTTTTATACACAGCTGATTTCCCAGTGCTTGGCACAGAGTAGATGCTCAATAAACAATTGCTGAATGAATGAATGAATGAATGAATGAATGAATGAACAGGCAGAGGAAATGGCAAAAGCCAGCAAAGGCTGGGAGACCAAAGGGCTGGCTTGGGTTAGGGAGAAAGGCCTTGTTAAGAAAAGGCCAGTGAAGCTTTGAGAAGGTTGTTAACCTATAGAAAAGCGGGCCAGATATCCTTGGGGATACAAAGGAACCCAGGACTCAGGCGTTGCCTCCCAGAAACACATGTGGTAACTGATGGAGGAGGGCCCTGACCTGCGGGTTAGGGCAGGGGGTCGGGGTAGGGAGTGGGGGCTGGGGTGGGGGAGGGGGCTGCGGCATACCTGAAAGCTGGTGGGTACATCCTCAGCGTCTCTGCAATCACCATGTCCAGATAGGGCAGGTCTTCCTCGAGGCTGCAGAACTCAGGGGCCACCTAACGGAGGGGTTGTGACGAAGGGAGAAGTTCGGGTTAGCCCGACTCTCACAGCATTTTGTCTTTTCCTTAAATTTCAATTTCATTTCCAACTCTCGCAAGTATTTAAGCAGAAACGCCACAAAATGGAAAGTCGATACGACCCAAATTACACCTGATTGGCCCTCAGCGTGTTCTGTTGTGCTTACATCTCATGGTGCTGGCCTGGGGCTCAGGGGTCTTTGAGGGTAATACAGGGAAGTTTGGTTATAAACGGCAGCAGCTGCCACAGCTGCCAGCGTTTACTGGGAGCTGATGATGTGGCTGACCAAATGCAGCAGAGGCTCATTTACTCATCCAGCAAGCCAGGGTGGCAGCTGCTTCCCATCGCTTGGATGAGAAAACTGAGGCTCAAAGAGCCTGTCACATGGGTAGCCATTGCCAGATCATGAAGTTAAAAGGCAAATAGTGAAATAGCAAATAAAAAAGTTTGCAACATCTATAAAGGATTAACAGTAACAAAAAACCAGAGCTACTACCAATTAGTAGGAAAAGACAACTAGCTAGAAAAATGGTCAAAGGTACCAACAGGCAAAACAGAAGAAATGTGAATTACCATGATAAAAATTCAAGTTGGAATGAGATTCTGTCTGCACAAGTCAGCTTAGGAAGAGTTGGAAAATAGATTTCAGGGGTACAGACGTGGGGGGATCCTAACACCCCCTGGGCGACTCTCTGTCACTCCCTGGCTCTCCCTCCTTGGCCTGAAGATGAACACACGTGCCCACGAGCTCTTGAGCAGGGTGTGGGCACACCAGGGTGAAGGAAGCTTCTTCCTGCTCTGCCGCTCTCCCCGCACAGGTGGAATGAGTTATCTGGTTGGTAGGTGATGGCCTCACTTTCTTCACCTAAGACAATGCTAATCCAGAAGGAGTCCCCAACGTGGGGGATTGCTTTCTTCCTTTCCCTCTTTTTCCTAGAGCAGCAGGAGGCCGGCCTCCAGGGAAAGTCCATTCTGAAGCCACCAACTTTCCAGGAATGAGCGCTGGGAGGCCTATTTCCTCCATCTGCAGGGGTAGCCCTTCACAACCCTGGAGCAGCCACGGGCCCCCTGCCTGGGACCTCAGCCAGTTCTCAAAGTGAGCTCCCGGGGTGGGCGGAGGTCAGCAGCCTCAGCAGCGCCACCTGGGAACTTATTAGAACTGCACAGCAGTTCAGAGCGGGGAGAAGGGCAGGGGCCAGGGCACGTGGATTCTTGAGGTCCATAGCCAGCATCTTAGCTAATCTATTATGGTATGGCCATTCAATAAAATGCAGCTGTTTAACGATGCCTGTAAATCAAGCTGCAGAAATTATATGTAGTTTAATCCGATGTCTGAGCCTGTTTATGAATTTAGAGGGCCAGGGTGGTATTCCTACTTTGTCATGAAAATAACAAGGTCTGGTTGGTTTTCCCAAAGCTCTCCCATCTGCATTTCTGGGAAACTGTTCCTTTAGGTTATCACTCAACCCCACACTTCCCACTCCCATCACAGGCCACTGGGGCAGCTGGTTGAGCAAGTGACCTGTGAAAAGGACCTTGTGCATGGGGGTTAATGCTCTGTGGTTGTTGTCTGAGAGTCTTTATAACTTATCTTTTTTTTTTTTTTTTTTTGAGTCAGAGTCTTGTTCTGTAACCCAGGCTTAAGTGCAGTGGTGTGATCTTGGCTCCCTGCAACCTCCACCTCCCAGGTTCAAGCAATTCTCCTGCCTCAGCCTCCTGAGTAGCTGGGATTACAGGCATCTACCACCATGCCTGGCAAACTTTTGTAGTTTTACTAGAGATGGAGTTTCACCATGTTGGCCAGGCTGGTCTCAAACTCCAGCCTGCCTTGGCCTCCCAAAGTGCTGGGGTTACAGGCATGGGCCACCACACCCAGACATAACTTTATATATATTTTTTTAAGATGGAGTTTCACTCTTGTTGCCCAGACTGGAGTGCAATGGCATGATCTTGCTTCACCCGAACCTCCACCTCCCAGGTTTAAGCAATTCTCCTGCCTCAGCCTCCCAAGTAGCCGGGATTACAGGCATGCAATCAGATGTATGCAACTAAGCCAAGGCAAAGGACAGAGAGACCATTTCTTGGTGCCCCATCGGGTTCCAGTTCCTGTTTGCCATCTGCTCCTGGCAGGGAACCCTGTGGGTGGCATCTTGGTACCTTCCAACAAGTTCCCCCTTGTGGCTGAAGTTATCAATGTTCTAAATCCCATTATATGCAACCAAATGAATCTTAACAAATCTTAACCACCATGCCTGGTTAATTTTTTGTATTTTTAGTAGAGGCAGGGTTTCTCCATGTTGGTCAGGCTGGTCTCAAACTCCCGACCTCAGGTGATCTGCCTGCCTTGGCCTCCCAAAGTGCTGGGGTTACAGGTGTGAGCCACCGTACCCGGCCATAACTTTGTCTTTGAATCTGTGCTTTGAAAGCCTGGCTCATGCATTCCCCTTGCCCCCGACAGTGCCGTGGCTGCCTCCCATGACCAGCTCTCAGCCACCTGTGCTCTCTGCCTGGCTTCCCCCTTTCTGCCCTGACCTATGGCCACTGTTGCTGTCCGCACTTCACCGGGTCTTGGCTACAGGCACAGAGAGGGCCAGGATAGGGTGCGTCCACCGTGCAGCATCTTGGGTGGGCATGGTGGTGGCCGTCCTTGCCCTAGGCTGGCAGCACACAGTGTATGTGGTGGGGCTGGCCAGAGGCTGCGTCTTGTTGGGGGTAAGCCTCTGCCTATTCCTGGCCTAGGCATTGAGTATGTCATAGCACAGAGGTTTAGAGGTCCTTGGAGGTTAGTCTGCTGTGGCTGGCTGGGGAAGGCTGTGGGAAGGGGAGACATCTGGACCAACTTCCCTAGACTCTGCCTCCCTGGCTGGGTCTCAGTCATGTGTCTGGTGGCTGATAGGGCCCTTGGACGTTTGGTAGGGTCTGGACTCCCTCAGCCCATCTAGTATGTCTAGGCCTGAAAGAGTGCCCCCCCTTGTGTGAACCTGGAGGCACCTTATCCTCCTGCTTCCAATCTTCATGAGTTTGGTTTGTGTTTGTCTCTTCTGGCCAACAGGTCACAAAACACCAATTGTGTAATTCAGTGATTCTGCACATGAGTTAAAAGCACTGAAATTTACATTTGAGTCCGGTATTGCCTGATAAAAAGATGAACGGTAAAATGCTTGCTAATAATTTAAAATGTGGAGTTTTCTTTACTTAGAACGACGGTAAATAGAAAATAAAAAGCACCATGACAAGTCAAAAAAGAGGCTACAGAAGAAGTGAAGAAGCTTGCTGAGTACCATGACGGGCACTTCCCCCCGCTTTGGGAATAAAGCCTGCCACACTTTCATTTCTCATCTGGCCTCACAGATCCTGTTGCCAGCCCTGCACGCCAGGATTGGCCCAAGGGACCAGTCTGGAAACTTGGATCTGGAACAAAGAAAAGTTTTTCTCCAGCAGGCGGCAGTCAACACAGGTAAGTGGAGAGCCATTGTCAGCCACATTCCGCCTTGTGGATTAATGAGCAGCAAACCCCAGGTGGCCTCAAGAGAGAAGAAACGAATCAGATGTATGCAACAAAGCCGAGGCAAAAGACAGAGACCATTTCTTGGTGCCCCATCGGGTTCCAGTTCCTGTTTGCCATCTGCTCCTGGCAGGGAACCCTGTGGGTGGCATCTTGGTACCTTCCAACAAGTTCCCCCTTGTGGCTGAAGTTATCGATGTTCTGAATCCTGTTATATGCAACCAAATGAATCTTAACAAATGTAGGAATATACATATATCGAATAAGAAACAGAGCTGCGGCACACCAAAACAGAGAACTATAGCTCCAAAAGAGAAACTGCATCTGGGAGCAGCACCCCTGATGGGTAAACGGTGTTGGTCCCCCAAAGAAAACTGTATGGCTTGTAAGCTTTCAGGGTTTGTCAAAGAAAGAAAACCTTTTGAGATAGGCTAAGGGAATTTTGTGTTAGAAAATCAAAGTCTTTATTTGCTCTTTCCCTAGATGGGCTTTTTTTTTTTTTTTTTTTTTTTTTTTTTCCCCAGTGCTTCTAGCTTTTAGATCAAGATACACCTGTAGGCCGGGCATAGTGGCTCACGCCTGTAATCCCAGCACTTCGGGAGGCTGATGTGGGTGGATCACCTGAGGTCAGGAGTTTGAGACCAGCCTGGCCAACACGATGAAACCCTCTCTCTACCAAAAATACAAAAAATTAGCTGGGCATGGCGGTGGGTGCCTGTAGTCCCAGCTACTCTGGAGGCTGAGGCGGGAGAATCACTTGAACCTCGGAGATGGAGGCTGCAGTGAGCTGAGATCATGCCACTGCACTCCAGTCTGGGCAACAAGAGTGAAACTCCATCTCTAAAAAGATACGCATGTAAAGATCTTCTTGGTTCAGCAGTTCTACATAGGGCTGCATGTTAGAAGCAGCCAGATTTTTATATATCTTTAATATAGATGGATGCTTGGGCCCTACTCCCCACTGCTGGTCTGAGGTGGGGCCTGGGTACCAGCTCTCCTTTTACAGCCCCCTGTCCTAACGTGCAGTCAGGGGCATCAGTCTGTCTGTCTGAGGATTACCCTAGCACTTCTCCACATTGGAGGAGTGGATAGTTGAGGCGGAGAGATACACACACCTTACGTGTTAGTCGAACCAGTGAGAAAACAAAACTCAAGTCCCTATCCCAGTTACTGCCTGGTCCACCCAGCCGCGGCTGGCTTTGCCTGCAGCTTTCAGGAACGCAGCAGGGACAGAGCGGTCCTGAGCAAATTCTGCCAGCAGAGGGCAGCAAGCGCATGGTAAATGGGGACTTCCCATCCCAGGAAAGGACCTTGGAAATCCTAGCAGGATCCTTCAAGAGAGGAGTAGGTGGGGCGGGCACGGTGGCTCACGCCTATAATCCCAGCACTTTGGGAGGCCGAGGCGAGTGGATCACGAGGTCAAGAGATCGAGACAATCCTGGTCAACAAGATGAAACCCCGTCTCTACTAAAA